TGCAGGCATTATCATTACCCATCAAAACAACTCCACCATCCAGCTCCTCGAAGCTAGAAAACCATTCTCGAATGGGACATATATGATAGGTGCAGCCTGAATCCAAAATCCACTCCTTGGAGTGACCATTAGTAGATGAACTAGCCAAAGCAAACTCGAGATCATTATCTCCTTGGTTTACAATATTTGCTTCAGGGCCCGCTTTCTCCTTCTCTTTGTTCTTCAATTTGGGGCAATCTCTCTTCCAATGACCCTTTTGGCGGCAAAAGGCACATTCATCTTTAGCAGGAAACTTCCCTCGTGACTTTGAACGAGATTTTCCCCGTTTCACATATTTTCTTTCCACTGTTCGACCCCTTGCAACAAGTGCCTCGGTTTGTGAATTGTGAGTCTTTAGTTCTTTCTTACGACACTCATGATTCACCAATGCCGCAGACACCTCATCAAGTTTCACCTCGGTTTTTCCATACAACAAAGTAGTTGTCAAATGATCATAATCATCAGGCAATGAATTTAACAAACATAATGCCTTGTCCTCGTCAGGAATTTTCACATCAAGGTTTGCTAAATCGGCAAGTATTTTATTATAATCATTGAGGTGTTCATGCATAGAAATACATGGACTATACTGAAAACGGAAGAGTCGTTTCTTCAGGAAGAGCCGATTTTCTGCGCTCTTGGTCATATACTTTTCCTCCAATTTTGTCCATAACTCCTTGGCAGAAGTTTCCTTCATATACGGGTATTTCAACTCATTGTCAAGAAATGATCGAATAGCAGCACAAGCATGAAGATTAATTCGCGTCCACTGCTTGTCCTCAATATCTTCTGGTTTCTCTTCCAGAACCATATCCAACTCTTGTTGATACAAGACATCCATAACTTCACATTGCCACATACCAAAATTATTAGAGCCATTGAATTTATCAACCTCTAACCTTGTAGTAGCAATTTGGTGTCTGTTGGATGTAGGTGCCGACTCCTTCTTCTTCACAGGTTCACCTTCATCTCCAGCCATTTTCTTCGGCACTATTCACGGGAATGCAGCGCCAAGAAATTTTCCCTTTTTTTTTCTTCACTCCCACGAAAAAAAACAAAGCCCTAGTCGAAAAACTGGGCTCTGATACCACTTGTTGTGCGGAAGCTTCAACAAGTGTGAGTGAAATATAATAAACCCTAGAAACTGATAACAGATAAATAGAACAATACCAACAAGAACACCAAGATTTATACTGGTTCGGCAATGCCTACATCCAGTTTGGAGACGACGGAGTATTTCACTATAATCAATGAGAACATACAATAGTGTTTATCACTCAATTTCCCAAAGATCCGAATAACCCAAGCTCACACACTTACAATAGGAAGAGAAAACCAAAAATACAAAGCAAGACAATTTGAGAAAATTCTTCTCTATGCCGAATGGCTTCTTGCTATTTTTCTTTCTTCCTTGTTGTTTTTGAGTTATGCCTACACCTCCTTTTATAGGCCAAGGCCTCTCATTAAGTAATAAAGAGTTAGGCATAAGTGCATCCATTTTTTTTCTTATTTCCCACATGTAGCATGCCAACCATAAAAATAGCCGAAATCATTTGTTGGTTTTAGACTACTTTGTTTGAGCCAATAATCAACACCTTATGCATTTTATTGAAGAATATGGTGTGAATTCTGGTCAATGTATTAGTAAAGGTAAATCTCGTATTTATGTTGGGAAATCGGCTTCTACGCGTCGTTTGCGTATTTTATCCTGACACAATGTCTTTGAAGGTGAGCTTCCATTTACTTATTCGGGGGTTCCTATTTTTAAAGGCAAACCTAAGAGGGCATATTTTCAAGCCAAATAAAATACGTTCTCGTCTTTCTCAATGGCAAGGTCACTCTCTCTCAATGGCTGGTCAAGTTACTTTAGTCAAGTCAGTTGTGGTAAACATGTTGTCTCATACTTTCTCGGTTTATTCTTGGCCACCTACAATATTAAAACAGGTTCGTAGTTGGACTCGAAATTTCATTTGGACGGGATGTGCTAATTCTTGTGGATTTTCTATTGTGGAATGGAAAAAATGTTGTGTTCCCGTAAATGAAGGACGTCTTGGCATTCGGAATTTTTCAGCTTTAAATAAGGCCTTTTTATTGAAAAAGTTTTGGGATATTTTGGTTACCTCATCTATGGCTTCACGGTTTTTTCAAGGTTGGTTTTTTAATTGTCTTGGACAGACGTGTTCTACATACAAGAGTTCCTCCATTTGGCCTGGTTTACGCCTCTTTTTTCAGATATTTTTCATGGATCAAAATGGGTGATAGGTAATGGTAAAGTATTAATTTTTGGCATGCGAGATTGTTAGATTTTCCAATAGTTGATAGGCTTGGTATGCCACCAAATTTATGTAAGACTTTTCGAGCTAAAGTTTCTGATTTTATTGTGGATGGTTGTTGGATTCCCCCACCTACTCTACATTCATGGCTAGTGCCCATTTGGGATGATATTTCTTCTATTGGGCTTCCTTCAAAGAATGGGATTGATGACAAAATAGTTTGGTTGTTTGCTTCAAATGGTGACCTTTCTTTATCTTTGGCTTATGATTTTAAACTTAATAAACAACCAGTGGTTCAATGGGATCAATGGGTTTGGCAATCTTGCTTTCGCCCTCGTAATTCGGTTACATTGTGGAAGTATTTACATGGTAAGATGTTAACTGATGATCTCTTGCAGCAAAGAGGTTTTGCTATAGCATCTATGTGCTCTCTTTATTATGAAGGTATGGAAACTGCTTCACATATTTTCTTTGAGTGCTCTTTTACATGTAAAATTTGGTCTTCTGCTTTGGAATTATTCAGAGTTCAATATTTATTTCAAGATATTTTTAGCTTTTTCCATTATCCTTTACAACAAGGTTTTGGTACCCAAGTGCAACTGCTTTGGTGGGGTATGATTGGAGTTGGTTTTTATTCTATTTGGCATGCTCGCAACGCTGTTCGTTTTCATGAGGAGATTGTTTCCATCAATTATGTTGTAAGGTCTATTAAATGTCAACTCCTTGAAATTGATTTTCTCAATTCCGGCTGTATGAAGAATTCTGTGGAAGAGCTTTGCATTCTTCATTCTATTAGTGTCGTGGACGTCCTGCTAAGGCTCCAAAAATTATTGAGGTGTTGTGGCGTCCGCCTTCTCAGTCTTGGATCAAAGTGAATACTGATGGTGCTGCAAGAGGTTCCCTTGGTGTGGCTGCATTTGGTGGTATCTTTCGAGATTTTACAAGTAATTCTCTTGGTTGTTTTGCGGGTTCAATAGGCTTAGCCTCTTCTTCGGATGCCGAACTACATGCTGTTATTCATGTTGTATCTTTAGCTTGGGATAAAGGTTGGCATTCCTTATGGATTGAATGTGACTCCTCATTGGTTGTTCATCTTCTCTCTTCATCCTCACCTTCCTTGACATCTATCCCATGGAGGTTTTTGGGCAATTGGCATAATTGTCAAATTTTAATATCCTCCATGCAGGTTCAAATTTCTCATATTTTTAGAGAGGGTAATCAAGTTGCTGATTGTTTGGCCAATTATGGTGTTGAGCACCTCGGTGTCCATTGGTGGGATTCATGCCCTCCTTGTGCTGCAGCTACTTATTCTCATAACCTTTCTAAGCCTCCTTGTTATAGGTTTTGCTAAAAGAGGTTTTCAATTGTTGTTATGAATTATTTAATGGTCTAGGTTTAGCCTCATGTCCCCCCTGACATATTGTATTTTTCTTGTTTATCAATAAATTCTCCTCAAAGTCTCTTCCCATGATAGTAATGCTGGAGTGGCCAAATTAAAAAAAAAAAAAGAAATATTCTTGGAACAACAATTTATAATGTTAGTATAAAAATTAATATTAAATTGTGAAGTAATAGAGAGTTATACTTTAAAAGAATCTTTTTATCATTTCTCCAGCATTAAATGAATTCAAAGCCTAACCCTTGTCTAAATTGAGTACCTTCCTTACTCTGGATTTATCCCTTAGATACTGCAGCTGTCTTTTTCCAATGGTACAGCTATGGAATAGACAAATGATTTGATCAATTGTTTGATATAGGCTATAGCCTATATAGAAACAAAAGGATGAGGATCATTTCCAGATTTTTTTTATGAAAATTCTAATAATTCTTAAATTTTGGTCGTTTATAGTACCTTGTACAATCAGTTTTATTTATGTTTAATTTAAAATAAGTAAATTTAAAATAATTTATGATCACAAGATATACGATAAATAGTTAAAAATCCTTACAACTTGAATCCGGATGGGATCCAAATCTGAAACAAAATGCACAGGTACATTTATGATATAAGCTATAGCCTAAATCTAAGAGGTATGAGACTGAGAGATTCCAGTTTAAAACTTTCTTTCAACGTTGTTGAAAAGAGAAAGAGGTTTTTTGATATGGGTTCAAAATAACAAAAAATTGAACTTATTTTAAAAATTAAAAATCACTAAAAATTAAATTTATTTTAAAAGATGATCTATAAAATTGAACCTATTTCAAATTTTCCCAAACAGAAATACCAATCAACCACAGCTTTCGGTGGTTTAGATTTTTAGTTTGACTGTCTAAAAATTTAGGAAAGGTAATACCATTATTGTTATTGCAGGTACCCCACAATATTCTGAACTTAGACTTCCATTGAAAGCGCCCAAAACCTAACCCTACGGTCCCTACCCAGATTATCTTCCACAATCTTCTGAATTTCTCTCTCTTAGACTTTTCAACAAAATGCGCCGCCATGGACGATGAAAAACGAATCAGGATTGTCTTGGTGAGGATAATAAAGATTCGTAAATTATATCTATTCATTGGTACAATGTGCGGTAAAAAATTATTTTAAATATTTTTATTTAAAATTAAATACAACAGTGTTTAATAAAAATTAACTGCATAATATACGATAAATGAATACAATTTATGAATTCTCAAGATTCTCCTCACCAAAGAATCCAGAGAGGATCTTGTTGGAGGGATAACAAACCCTTGAAGGAAATACCATGAATTAAGAAATTCCCAACACAACACATAAAATTCACACTCATGATAATGGCACGCATGTTGTGCTATGCTAGTTTGGCAGCGACGGACAGAGCGAACATAATAGGTGAGGATAGAAGGCTTAGAGCCTTAGACATAAAATACAAGGGCCAATACACGTACATTAGAGGATAAGGCCTCTATCTTTCAACATAAATATGGAATAGCAACAGCTCTGAGAGGATATTTTCTGTGTACTGTTATACCCGTAGATTCAGTCGTATCTAAATCCTCCCCACTTGCTCCACCAGGCAACTCCCAGTCGAACTTGTGCACGATATTTGCCAAGGCAATCTCATTAACAGTCATGCCAAACTGAATTCCAGGACAGACCCTCCTACCAGCACCAAATGGAATTAACTGAAAGTCATTCCCTTTATAATCTACCTCACTATTCAAGAACCTTTCTGGCTCGAACTCCTCTGGATTTTCATATAGTTTGGGATCTCTTCCAATTTGCCATGCATTGACCATAACGTGTGTCTTGGCTTTAATTTTGTATCCACCTATTTCCGCATCTTGGGTCGCAATCCTGGGCAACAGTAGTGGAACTGGTGGATGTAAGCGAAGAGTCTCGGTTATCACCGCCTTCAAGTAGTGCATTTCAATCGAATCATCTTCTGTTATGAGTTCTTCCTTTCGGACTATTTCACGTACCTCATTCTGCAACTTTTTCATGACCCTAGGATGCCTTAAAAGCTCGGTCATTGCCCACTCTAGGACTGTAGATGCTGTATGAGTGCCAGCAGTAAACATATCCTGCAACAGGTTATATTATTAATTAAAGTATTACAAATACATATTATTACATGGAGGGAGAATTGTAGTCAGTTTTAACGGAAAAATAGCAGTGGGAAGCACGACAACTTATCCGATTTGATTTACTTCTTAACTTATAACAGTATACAATGCTAATGTGGTTTATATATCACTGGAGTTCTTGTTTTTCAGCTATCGAATATCTTATATATGTACTAATCAGTCTGTTAAATAACTTTCTAACAGAAACACAGGGAGAGAGAGAGAGATGATTACCAAGATGAGAGCTTTTATAGTAACTGTATCAATAGAAAAACCAGGCAAGTTTTCTTTCTGAATTGCAAGCAAAACATCGACAAAATCCGCTTGGTCATCGTCTCCAGTCTTTGGACTCCGATCCATATGCTCTTGGACCACTTTATCTAAAAAGTCATCAAACTTCTTAGCCACCTTGTCGAACTTGGCTTCCAAACCGTTGACACTGCTCAACCAAGAAAGCCATGGGATATAGTCCCCAATTTTAGTAGTTCCCAATAACTCAAAGAACTCCCGCAAAAGTCCCTCAAACTTCATCCCACCTTCACCACTGTACTTCCTCCCCAGAGCCACTCTAGATACAACATCATTGGAAAGCCTCAGAAACATTTCGCTTAAATTCAAAACTGATGGTGATGATTTCATTATGTCGCTGATCATGGAGTTGGTTTCCTCTTCTCTCACAAAGCGAAAAGAGCGAACCCTTTTGTTGCTCAAAAGATGTATGACACATATACTTTTCACCTTCCTCCAATACTCACCATAAGGAGCAGATGCAACGTCTTTACAGTTGTAGAGAAGCTTCTCAAAGTTGGTGGACCTGGGTCGATCAGAAAATGTGTGGTCATGGGTTTTCATGATCTCCTGAGCTGCCTGAGCCGAAGAGACAACAAGGACCGGGACACGTCCGAAGTGAAGAAGCATGAGAGGGCCATGACGTTGAGATAATTTTTGCAGTGAGCGATGAGGATCCAAGCCTATTTGGTGAAAGTTTCCGATGATAGGGAGCTTCGGTGGAGAAGGTGGTGATGAGGTTTTGTTGGTGGTTGTGGTGGAGGAGTACCATCTGTATATGAGGATGATGAAAATGGCCAGCATTGTGAAGGCCAAAGGTTGCAAAAAGGAGGAGGTTTCATTCTCCAGCATCATAGTCCTATTTGGGAGAAGAAAATTTATGGCCAGTAGTGCGGGTGTGTTTGCTGCGCTTGTGTATTTATACAAGGTATAGGTCATCCATGATTTCACAAGCTTACATATATATCAAAGAGTGCTGATGTACTAACTCGCTAGTAACTTAAATGCCGCACTAATCACTCATCTAGATCTACTTTAAAATATTTTTCATGATTTATGAGTGATGACAAATAGGCGAACATAATGTAGTCAATAAACAATGAAATATTCACAACAATAACTAAAGGGCTAAACGATTTCCGATTTGAGTGAACTTGTACAAGAATGATTTACGAATGATTACCTAAAAACTCAACGGTTTGGATCATTGGATATATTTTGGAGTTGGACAAACCAAGTACATTATTAGTACATTATTAGAGCAATTTGGAGCCACATAAGAGTTGGTGGACTCAATGAGTTTGTTTCTTTTGTTTATCTTCCAGCATGTGGACGTAAAGAAATTCTCGGACAGTATAAAGGTCTTACCTGTCCCACCATACTCGGAGGTGCCTTTGCTTTCTTGTCCGCTCAGTGAAACGGACACACGATTTTTAACTTGTTCTCTTTTTTCTTCAGAGGATGTGTTTGGTCGACTAGTTAAATTTTCTTGTGGAGAAAGACAAGAAACTTTTGAAGTGCTTTAGGAAAGTAGAGCGTTTAACTTTTGATTTTGAAGTTTAGTAGCTCGATGGAGTTGCAAGAAAAAACAAAATCCAATCTAACACCAAGTTCTATTGACAAACGTTTTATATAAGGATGACAATCTAATTTCGTACAAGATTATTCCTACAAATAAATATAAACATTTTAGATACTTTAAACATGTAAATCTTCACAGGAACACAAAATGGAAATACAAAAGTTCCACTAGAACCTTGGTATTGCCATAGCTACAAGGGGAGCTTTTCGATGGATGACAAGACCGGTGCATTCTACCATGCTTAAATCTTTTGCTCTTGCTCCGTCGGGCAATGTCCAGTCAAATTTGTGCACAAGATTTGCTAACACAATCTCATTGGTGGCCATGGCAAACAAGGATCCAGGGCAACCCCTTCTTCCAGCTCCAAATGGGATTAATTCGAAGTCATTCCCTTTGAAATCCACCGAAGAATTCAGAAACCTATCTGGTTTAAACTCCTCTGGTTCATCCCACAATGAGGGGTCTCTTCCAATTGTCCAAGCATTGATTATGACCATTGTTCTTGCTGCTACGTCGTAGCCCCTTATTTTAGTTGCTTGAGTTGATTCACGAGGAACTAGTAACGGTATTGGAGGATGCAACCGAAGTGTCTCTTTGATCACGGCTTTTAAGTAGGGAGTTTTATCTAAATCACTTTCTGTTATGTCTGGTTTTCCAGTAGCAATTCCCATCAACTCATTTTGCAGTTTCTCCAACACTCTTGGATGCCTTATTAGTTCGGTCATTGCCCACTCTAGAACCGTGTAGCTAGTATCAGTTCCGCCACCAAAAATATCCTGCAAGAAACAAGAAAAAAACCTTAGTTCACCCAAAATCAATTCGCAATGGATGGAGAGGTAGATTTTTCACAGGAAGAGATTTTCGCACTCCCCTTTTGTTCCCGTGCACTCTCCCCTTTTTTCTAGCCTTTTTATTACAACAACGGAGAATCAAGGGACAAAAACAAGGTGATAAGTGCAGAAGGAGAAGAAAAAAGAGTATAAAGTTATGATACAAGTTCTTAAACAATTGAAGTTATGGAGGTTTCTTGCTAGCTAGGAGTTGTGGAGACAGAGAAGAGACTTACCAAGATGATACCCTTGATGCTATCTCTATCAAAGGAAAAGCCAGCCGTGTTTTGCTTTTGAATTTGGAGCAGGACATCCACAAGATCCTTCTTATCTTCACCTTCAACACTCGAATTATTACCGCAGTTTTCGCCTTTTGTGTCAAGACTACACATATGCTCTTCAACTACAGAATCCAGAAACTCATCAAACTCTCTAGCAACCTTCTCCACTCTTGTGTCTAACCCGTTAACGCGACTAACCCAACCGAGTAGTGGAATAAAATCCCCCACATAAAAACCACCCAACAAGATCATAAACTCCTCAAGCAATTTCTTGAACTTCCTTGCAGCTTCACCTCCACTATACTTTTTCCCGAAAGCCACCCGACAGATCACATCATTAGTAAGTGAAATAAACAATTCACTTAAATTCACAGGCAACGACGACATAGAAGACTGTTTCACATTCTTAGTCAGCAAGGCTAGTTCTTCTTCTCGTACTGCTCGAAAAGACTGAACCCTTTTGCTCGTTAAAAGCTGCAGCACGCAGATGCTTCTCATTTGCCTCCAATACTCACCGTAAGGAGCTGAGGACACACTCTTAGATCCGTAGAGAAGTCTATCGGCAATTGTTGATCTTGGTCTGTTGGCAAAAATGCTATCATTCGTTTTCATGATCTCACGAGCAGCGTCGGCAGATGAAATGATGAGAACTGGTCTCGCGCCAAAATGAAGCACCATGAGCTCGCCATAGCGCTGAGCTAATCGTTGTAGGGATCGGTGAGGGTACGTGCCTAGTTGGTGGAGGTTTCCGAGTATTGGGAGCCTTGGCGGTGAAGGAGGCAAGTGTTTCAGTGAAATTGTAGTGCTCCAAAGCCGTTTGATGATGAAGATTGTGAAAATCAGGCAGGGAAGGACAATTAGAAACAGGTGCAACATAGCTAGTGGTTGCTCACTAACTATGATCTCAATGTCAAATGTTTGATTTTCCTTGTACGATATTTGGTCGTGCTGATCATATTCATATATAGGTCACGAGGACAACACATTGATGGGGTGGAAGTAGGTGCGGTCCGTCTCTGAATTATTATATACTAGTCTCTTGCCACACGTATTTATAATCTTTTATTTTTCTGTTGAAATTTTAATGGGAGAGGGGAAATTTGAGTACTATGAAAGCTTCACCTATTGTGTCTTCTCCCTCTATATATAGATGAAATTCTAATGAAAGAGGCTTTTTTTTTTTTTTTGTCAAACGATATATTTGTTAGATTAGATGTTAGATTAGCCGTCAACGGGATTCGACCCACGCCGTCATGCAAGGAATAACACATTGCCACCATTATGATAAAGGGCTATTAAGAATGACAATTTGAGTATTACAAAAGCTTCGTCTTTTTTGCCTTCTCTTTTTATATATATATATATATATATATATATATATATATATATATATATATAGATTAAGTAAAAAAAAAAAAGGGAATAATATAATATAGTGCTGGCCTTCAATACACAAATATTATTTGGTCACATCCATACGAAACGTATCCGGCCTACTATCTCACACCACCTAATAAGAGTTAATTTGTTAATTAGTGCGTGGTACAGCCACTTGAAAATGTTGTATAAAAAATACAATATGGCTAAAAGTTGGAAATGGAGCCATGTGTGATGGTGATCTTTCGTTGGCACTCGTGGAAATTTTGGCAGCTTGTTCAATTTAGTATAGAAAATTGCAGGCACTGAAGAGTTCCTTATGTGAGTTCATCAAACACTATTAAGGTGCAAGAGCTAAGTAAATTGAGTTGTAGGAAGAGTTGGACTTTATTGGGGTTTTAATGTCCGGAAAAAATAAAACATATTAGAGGGAAAAGTCATTAAAGTGTTGTAAAATCGACGATGTGTGTACAGTGGAATAAATAAAACAAGATACAAAATTTACGAGGTTCCTCTACAGTCAGTATGACTGGAGTACGTCATCGGGCAGCAGTGATGCTTTCACAATAATTTGGAATAATAGGAGTACAAAGATAACTCTATGTATTCTCTCATCTCCTCTTCCTCTCTTTCTTTCTCTGCTCTCTATTGATAGCAATCGGAGTGCTCTATTTATAGAGCAACTCCGTATTATTACATTTTGAATATTTACACCACACCTTTGACAAATGATCTCCACATATCAATATTCTGCCAAGGTTTTCAACACTGTGGCAATGTTTTCAATGTTGTGGCAAGGTTTTCAATACTGTGGGCATTCATTACCCACTAGTATTTTTAACATAAAGCTATATCTAAATTATTTATTAATAAAACTATTTTTGTCAATTAAAAGATGACGAAAAGATTATTTAGTCTTTTATAACCCAAAAAAAATAATGGGCAGTAATGCAATTTCATAGATCTCAATTTTACTGTTTTTTATTGATGCCTCACTTACAGATGGTGATGTTAAAATATATTAATATTAAAAAAAATACAATAAAAAAAATTAAAAAAAAAACCTCCCACTCTCACTCCCACCCACGTTGTATTTCCCTCCCTTCTTTTCATTTTAAAAATAAAAACAAAAAAGTGTGCAAGTATATGCTAATTTGTAATTAAGGAAGCAGCTAACTTGGTGACAAATTGAAGGCCACTACCTTCTAATGAGAGAGGGCAGTTAGCAAAACATAGAAAGTAGTTGGTCCCTCTTGTACATATATACTGGTTTTAGAGTGCTTGCCCCATTGTTGTCTGGAAAACCTTGCTGTTAGTACAAGAGGAGAGAAGACGAACTTGCTGCTGCATATGAATGTCTTGGAGTGCAGGTTAGTCTCCATGATATAGTATTGGTATACTAGGGACGTTTACTGTGACAGAATTTGTAGCATCATGGATTAGGGTTTACTGCGAGTTTGCTGTAGAAAGTAGAAGCAGAGCTCTACCCCTGTTTCTGAAAACAACGCATTATTTTCATAGCAAAGCATCTCCAAACTAGCCCGAAAATTAATATTCAATGAAGAGATTGGCAGCCCTTACAACTTCAGAGAAAATCGGCTAATACCTCTTATGAAAATACAAATACACTATATTATGTTATGCTTAAGAAAATAAAATGATACAAAAAATACAAACAAATGCCACGTTTCTCAATATATATATTGGGAGATTATATAACAAAAGATAAATCCAATTGGTTCAGACTAGCTACCTAAAAATGTAGTGGCTAGAAAATATACAAACGGCCAAAGGTAATGCAAGGAAAACTAAATTTGTGGACAAAATTTTGTAAACTAAATAATGTATGAAAGTTGATTACTAAATTATTACTTAAGATTAATGTGTTTACTCTTTATTGATAACA